AGATATGCCAGCAGGGCTTGTGGTGGGAAAGAAACATTAACGGTTAGATCTCTGTAGCATTGCTGCTTTTATATATAGTTAAGTATTTCTGGGGGTGCTAATTTACTAGATCTCTCTAGCATATATATATATATATATATATATATATATATATATATATATATATATATATATATATATATATATATATATATATATATATATACTTTTGGCTAATTAAAGAAAAACTATACAAAAAACTTTATTAATTAGACAAAATCCATTCAAAAACCTTTATTAGTTAGAGAAAAACCATACAAAAACCTTTGTTCTTTAGAGAAAAACCATACAAAAACCTTTATTAGTTAGAGAAAAAAATCCTTTGCTAGTTAAACGTGTTTGGTAAGCTTCGCAACAAGTGGTTATAATGCACCCTGTTACACAGAAAAAATTAGTATAATATTAATTAGAATCGTAAGTTTACACACATTAGTACAGTTATATTAGGCTAATAGAAAACAAAAAGGATGAGTTAAAATGCATTTATATTGTGATATTAAGCTAGTAAAATTTTCATTAGTTACAATGAATTAATATGGTGGTATTTAGCTAGTAAAATAAGTTTAAATGAATTAATATGTTCATACAAGGCTCATAAAAAATCGAAAGTAACAATGAATTAATCGAATTTAAAAAAACTTACATGGTAACATTAGGCTCAGAGACACGCTTTTTCACGAAACTGCATCAGCTTTACTATGACTGTGTAAATCAGTGTTTAGGGCCCGAACATATCAAACTACCAATAACCTCCCTCAGACTCCGAGTGGATGGTCGGTCCAGGGCCCGAGTATTCATAATGCCGGCTCCGATTAGATTAAGAAAAAAATTATTATGTAAACATTAGTTAATATGGTGCTATTAGGCCAGTACAAAATCTCAAGTTTGAAGAACAAATGGACAGTATAATATGAGTTTGTCGGTTGAGGCCTGTCTTGCTAATGGGAGACACCTCCTGAGCCACTGGTGTCGGTAAACAAAGGAAAAAAAAGTTATTAGCTTCTAAAGTGGATTGGGGTAATCTTATAGTTATATTATCTGATTTACTAATTTTATATAGCAGAGCTAGCTAAAAACTTTCAAGTCAAAATCAAATTTATTTACCTAATCCTAATCAAATACCAAAATATTGAAATAAAAATAATAATTATTAGTGGCTCTTTAAAAGCTGGGAAATTTTGTAAATTGTAACTTTTGGCTCTTCCGTCTCAAAAGGTTGCCGACATCTGATATAGGCCAGCAGAAGACGCAGGGTGTTGTCGCACGTGACACTTCCAGGTTCTCCAATACCAGAGGACAGGCCCACAGAATTTCTTTCAGGAATTTAGTTTTTCGTCTGTTAACAGCCAAAATGTTTTTATTTTAAAAATTGAACAATTGATGTTTGAAGTAGAAAGATTTTTTTCACTATCACTATAGCTAATTCGTAACTAAATAAAATGTTAATCTTAAAAAGTGAATATTTCAATATATTACAATAGTTTAAATTAGAGAATAAGTAAATTAATTCTGAATGTCCAATTACAATGAATTAGTAAGTAGATATTCGTTTAACATGAAATCGAAAAGTCAGTGAAATTTCGATCCCGAACTCCAGTCCTTAGGAGCCTACAAAGCTCTAATCTATATCTGACTCACTTAATGGTAAACTAAGGCGGAGGGGAATGGAACTGACTACAATATATCATTTTATGCCATGGTCATTGAAACAGATGCGCATGTATCGTGGGGACTGAGGAGAGAGTATTGAATAAAAGGTATACAAATGATGTTTTGACTAATATTTTTTTCATTATAGAAGAACCATACAAAAACCATGATTAGTTAGAGAAGTAACAAGCAAACACCATGGTTAGTCAGTGAAAAAAATATACAAAACCATGGCTAATTAGAAAAGAACCAAACAAAATACATGGATAGTAGATTAAAATGAACCATTCAAAATATTCCTAGTTTGTTTAAAAAAACACATACAAAAACAATAAATAGTTGATTAAAACATTATAATAAAATAACCATTCCTAGTTTATTTTAAAAAAAAAACATTTAAAAAACAAAACATGGATCGTTGATTAAAAAAATAATCATAAATAAACCATTCTTTTATTAAAAAAAAAAACCATGGATAGTTGACTGTAAATAATCCTACAACATCAATATCTAGTTGATTAAACACGTGATACAACAGAGTGATAGTTAAAGTTAGATTAACTAGACGTTTGTAAACATAGACATTTTTTCTACATCAATGGAATTTTTGTCCAGTTGTCAATTCGCCAAAACTGTTATTGCCCAGTTGATCGTGTTCGGTCGGCCTGACAAAAACTGGACATATTGCACACAGTACAATAGTAATATGATATGAGGCTAATAAGAAATCTTACGTTTACATACATTAATTTAGGTATATTAGGCTTATGGTAAAAAATGTAAGTTACAATACATTAATAGTGTCGTAATCGGCAGGCCAAAACATTTTATGAATTAATATATTGATACAAGGCAAATAAGAAATCGTAAGTTACAATACATTAATATGTGGATATTAAGTTAACAAGAAATAGAAAGTTCCGTTAAATTAATTATATGATATTAGGTTCAGAGCCAGCTCTTAGGGGGGGGGGGGGCATAAAACAAAAGGTTACCAACAATTCAAGCACTAAATTAGTGCACTATGTATACCTAACGTCACCTTTGATTAGGTTAAAAAAATCGCTAGTGAAAATGAATTAATAAAGCGACGTACTATTTGCCTAATAAGCAATCGTAAAGAAGAAAAAAAAAGAAACAATATCGTTCAATATTCCTATTCAGTATATTATATATAGGGCTTTATTAAAAGTAGCTTTGAGATGTCTACTTTAATACACTACCAATAGTATCAGTCTGATCGTTCACTTGTAATTGTACACGTCATGATAAAGAAAGTACTATTTCATAAAAGTAATTACTTGATTTCATGAAAACATTTAACTATTGTACGAAAAAAACAATAGGATCAACTTGAAAATTGAATAAACTTACTAATCATTGTAGTAAATTGCAATACATAAAATATGAACCCAGAGGCGTATCCAGGTTTTCGTTGTAGGGGGAGCGAAAAGAGCAAAAAAAAGGCGCCGAATTTTTAACACGTTCTATATACGTGTATTATATATATATATATATATATATATATATATATATATATATATATATATATATATATATATATATATATATATATATATATATATATATATACATATATATATATATATATATATATATATATATATATATATATATATATATATATATATATATATATATATATATATATATATATATATATATATATATATATAATTACTAGCTGTATGTCATTACTTCGCTATGATGTAAAATAAATTGAAAGTATCACTCTGAAGAAATAAGAAAAAACACATAATGTAGGCCGACAAAAAAAAATTGTATCAATCTAAACAAAATATATATATATATATATATATATATATATATACACTACAACCAAAAACAATGAACGTAACACAATCTGTTTTGTAATTCTTGTAAAAAAAAAACTCTTACATAATAATTCCTGGGAAATAATTTAAGACAAGTGAAATAGGGGAAATAATCACTCTCTCAATATAAATATGTATATATCTACACATTTAATTATAAATGTCAAAACAAATAAATAATTACTTGAGAAAATAATGAAATTGTTTAACACTATTCGTGTTTACAAAACGTTTTTTTCTATAAACAGAATTGAATATATCGTCATCATAAATGCTAAAGTATTGCAGCATAATGAAAGTTTTTTAAAATCAGAGTTGGTATAAAAACCACACTTTTCGGTATAATAGAATAACATTTGGAATAACAGCCTACATATAACTAAATATCAGTCATTTAGTTCAGATCATATATTTTAATAAACTACTGCTTCTTTGTGTTCTTTAAAGATCATTTTTAACACAGTGATAGGTATGGGTTAGATCACTGTAAATAGAGGTGCCACATCAGTTGTATTTGTTTTTGTATAGTAATTTTTTTTTTAAATTAATCACACGATTCAAACTGTATATATATATAAAGTAATCATGTGTGAACATTTATGTATAACATTTTCTAATTCAATTATTCGTAAGCAAATATATTATACAGTTGCCTTAAACTTAACACCCCTCTTGCCAAGTGGTACTACTGTAGAGGTTTTTTAAACATTGCAATGCATCGTAATGGTTATTTTTAGAATGGCAAATTGATACAGCTGTTAATACGTGTTGTTAACGTAGACACTACTAGACTAGTACAATAATGCTTAATTGCTGCTTGAAAAAAAATCTTGTGATTTACATAGACCAAAAATATTCTTTTAACAAATATCATTGTTTAAAACTTTGAGTTTAAAAAGTTTCCAAAAAGGCGCCACCTTGCTGAAAATGGCCAGAGGGGGAGCGGCCGCTCCCCCTGCTCCCCCCCTGCGTACGCTACTGCCCAAACAAAATAGTATCATATTATTTTTTTTAATATTGAATTTCAAAACAATTAAATGTCTAATAAAAGTCAGTTCTTTTTTTTTTTAAATAGCAATAACTAAAAAACGGGTAATGACTGCGACACAATATTATCTCATAATGTAAATATAGTCAACTAGCGGTCTCACTCCAGGGGAGGGGATATAGAATTTTGTGACTATTTGAAGAGGGTTCGGTGGTTTGAAGTGAAAACGCGGATATGTATTTGAAAACAATGGTTGAAAACTGAATTGTAGTGGTTTTTATTTTTCAAGACTTTTATTTAAATTTGTTATTTAAAAATTGGTTTAAATAATTGGTGTTGACCGAGCTCAGTACATATTTTAGAAATAATTTTTTTAAAAAGTGCCTTTTTGAGGGGGGTAGGCAAGTACTGATGTCATTTTAACGTAAGGGGTAAATATCGTTAAAAAAGTATGACCGCAGACACAGTTATACATATCTATATTTCATCTCAGAGAAATCAGCTTTGATATATATGCGATTATCATATTTCCAGAAGACACCTGTGTAGCTTGTCGAGCCCCAATCTCCGTTCAGGTTGCTATAGTAGCAATCTTTGTACCAGCAGGCGCCGTGGTAAACAGAGGCACAGTTATCACCTCTTAAGTCGTTGTCCTGGTCGTACGTGCTGAACATCATCAGGTTGTGGTAGGACAGAGAATCACCCGCCGTGCCGGAGTACCCAGACACCTGCAGCCTGTAACCGTCAGCCTCGCTTGTGATGCTAAAACTGGAGTACTTGGCGAAATAATTAACTCCATCTAATGTCAAATCAACTCGAAGCTCGTGTTGTCTTTTCGACGTAATCAAATAAATGTTTTCGTTACCCAGGTAAAAATTACCCGAACTAAAATTCCCAAAGCCGTTCTTGTACTCTGTCCAGTTCCGGTAAAAGTCGACAGTTCCAGAAACACGTCTTTGGAAAATGGTCCATCCTCCACCGTCTGTCACAGTGTCACATATGACCAGACATCCAGGTGTGACCATAGCGACAGGTCTAGACTCGGGGCTCACGACATCTTTACAAGACTCGTGCACTGTTGAAGACGGGGGATGGGGAGAGGTATCGATCTTAAGTAACAATCAAAACAATAATGGAATTTTCTGTCAATGTAATTTTTTTTTTACTATTTATTTATTTTTAAACATGAGAATAAACTATCAGAGCTTACAGAATGAAATCCATATCTAATAGAAAAATCAGAATATCATTGTTAGCATATTTATTTGAAAAAAAATCAGTATAATATAAGCCTTTGGTTTCAGTAACATCTTTCATTTGTTTCATGTGGTTTATGCGCTTGTATATATTTCTATTTCGTATTTCATTGTAAACGCGGGCGTGCGTGTAATATCGTTGGATTTAGAAGTTTTAAAGAAACGAATAGTGCAAGTGATGTAGGTAGATGTTGTTGTTTTAAATAAAAGTAGTGTAAATTATCTAATTAGATTTATCTGTTTTAAAGAAAAATAGAGCAAATTATCAGTTTCTTCCCGGCATCTATTCATGGGTAATCCGCCTCTCCCCCCCCTCCTCCCTAATAAAGTCTACCGCCACTCCCCAAACTAAATGGAAATTAAATAGGAAATATAGTGTCGTCGTCGTCGTCCCCCCCCCCCCCCCCCCCCCCCCCCCCCCGGAGAAAAAAGTCTCAAAGAAGCGCTCCAAACAATGTAATTAGATTAAGTGGTTTTAAAGAAAAATAGTGCAAGTGATGTAATAAGATTTAGTAGTGCAAGGGATGTTGTTGAATTTAGTAATTTTTAAAAAAATCGGCAAGTGAGATGAAGCCAGTAAATAACATTATTAGAGTATATTCACGTCGACAAATGAACGTCATAGAGTTATCGCTTGACTTTTATAAAAAAAAACTCACTCCCTTAACCACTGAATTATGCCATTACTATGCAATCAATCCGTGTCGAACACATCCACGACACAACTCAAATTAATAGGCTGGGAGTATCTCACAGACATTCGGACACGCAGTCACAAGGACACACAGTCACGCTGACACAGAGTCAAGCGGACACAGACACACAATCAAGATAAACACTGACACTTGGAATATTAAACACAGACTTAAGAACAAACAAACGGACTAAAAAAACGTGACTAAAATTACAAGATCACCTGAACAAAAGAACAATTCTGTCGACGAGATTCTGCCACTATTTATAAACATCTTGTCGCTGGTTGTGTTACAGAACTTGCCAGTAGAGTAGATCTTTCCTTGGACAACCGGATCTGATGGAGCTTTGAGGACCAGCCAGGAACCTTTTAAAGATAAAGAAGAGCAGTAGTTTGGATTAAATGGAATCAAATTCAGCGTTTATGTTGAGTTGATTAGTATTGTGAGTATTTTCCGTAATTATATCTGTAGGTTCCTAGCTTAGCGACATTAAAAGATACATTTTGAGTTTCAAAATTCTTAACATAATCATAATGTCCAATGTAAGAGTCATCTGTAAAAATATCCTCTGAATAATCTCCAATGCAAACTTTCCAATATAAAATGTCCTATGTAAAATATCCTATGTAAAATGTCCTATGTAAAATGTCCTATGTAAAATGTCCTATATTAAATGCCCCACTCACCGAGGGTACAGTGTCGTGTAGTACCGTCGTAGATGTAGGAGTAGCAAGTTTTGTTGGAGGTCGTACATCGGGAGGCGCAGGACAGATGGCTGACGTCACTGTACTCTACATTGATGGGCAGCATCAGCAGGTTTTGTTCCTGCACCATCTTAAAACTTGTCTGCTTCACCAGATCGGCCAGCAGGGCTTGTGGTGGGGAAGAAGCATTAAAGGTTAGATCTCTATAGCATTGCTGCTTTTATATAAAGTTAGGTATTTCTGGTGGTGCTAATTTAGTGAAAGATCTATCTAGCATTGCTGCTTTTATATATAGTTAGGTATTTCTGGTGGTGCTAATTTAGTGTAAAATCTCTCTAGCATTGCTGCTTTTATATATAGTTAGGTATTTCTATGGGTGCTAATTTAGTGTAAAATCTCTCTAGCATTACTGATTTATTATAGAGTTTGGTATTTCTATGGGTGCTCATTTAGTGTCAGATCTGTCAAGTATTGCTGATTATTAAATATAGAGTTTGGTATTTCTGTATTTCTGTAATTTAGTGTAAGATCTCTCTGGTATTATTGTTTTAAATATAGTTAGGTATTTCTGGGGTTTTAACTTAGTGTAAGATCTATTTAGCGTTTAATACATTATGTAATGGTTCTCTAGCATTTAGTATAGAGCTCATGACTTTTAACTAAACGTCCCGTGTTCGGATCCCGGGCTTGAGTCTGATGACGTCCCAGAGTTCACCAAGGGAAAGGAAAGTCGGCTTTACCTTGTACGGACAAAATTATCCCGCTGTATGTCTTACTCGTGGAAACAGATGAACTCTACTTCACCTGCTCAATGTGTCTTGGGCGCTAATGCAAATCTTCCCCTGTCAATTACCGCTCTACAAATAAACCCCGCCCAAAACTGTAGGTCATTACTGTTTTATCTCGGTCTATTTATTGCGGCTTCTCATAACCAAACATGTGGTCACAATGATTTATCTTCAGATTTTTGTTTTATGCGGGTCTACGACAAATTCCTGAAGTGGCTTTCGGGCATTTATCACATTCGGGCCAGTGTTTTTCGGAAAAACTTCCGGATCCCGTTTTATGCATACACAAAAAATGTAGGACCCAACGTCAGCTAAAACGGCATTTTTGTATTACTTTTTCATAAAATAGTTTAAAATAGGTAAATAAATCATACATTTTTTTTACAGATACATAGATTAGATTTAAAAATAAAATGACGTATACTTTAAATAAATACATACAATGACGTATACTTTAAATAAATTCATACAATGACGTATACTTTAAATAAATACATACAATGACGTATACTTTAAATACATACTTACAAACACACTCATATATATATATATATATATATATATATATATATATATATATATATATGTGTGTGTGTGTGTGTGTGTTTGTGTGTGTGTGTATGTGTATATGTATATATATATATATATATATATATATATATATATATATATATATATATATATATATATATATATATATATCATAGTATACAAACCTCGAAGAAGCAGTGATAGTGCAACATACGAAAATATAATTTGATTTTGCATGATTGCTTCCTTAATCCAATTTCAACAACTTCTTGCTTTCACGTAAATTTAAATCACGTTTTTTAATCACAAATATATTATGTAATACTGAATGCTTTGTAGATGCTTTAGCTATTCACTTTTGATACAGTTTATAGACGCATAAGAGATTTAACATTTATAGAATAAATATAGTATTCCTGTGTCAAACGAAAAGTTATTAGACGTGTACGATTTACAAGAACTGATGGTGGAATCTTATAGTTCTAAACTAATACCTAACAACTTAGCTCGTTACTTACCGCCTTCATTAAGATGCGAACGATTATTGACATGCTTTATCTAGATTTTTATCAATCTTTGTTTAACACTGAATCTCACGCAACAAAAAGAGAATGGTTTCTTGAATAAAAATTTATTAGACAATTCAATTGTTTAGCTTCCCATCACTGGTTGATGGATTTCGTGCACGTGACGTTCAACTTGAATGAGATTAAGCCATGGGTTATTAAAATTGTATGTGATGTCGTCTTTAACGTTTGTAAGCAAATCATTATTTTGTTGCCTCAGACTTTCGGTTGAGTTCCACTCTGCGTTATGAACAAAATCTTTTGTTTGCCGTATAAAAAATACAAAGCTTTGACATGAGAAGACAGCATCATTGCAGAGAGCCTTTTATTTATAGTAAGTGGTGATTGCAGAGAGCCTTTTATTTATAGAAACGATTGCAGAGAGCCGTTTATTTATAGTAAGTAATGATTGCAGAGAGCCTTTTATTTATAGTAATGATTGGAGAGAGCCGTTTTTTTATAGTAATGATTGTAGAGAGCCTTTTATTTATAGTAATGATTGTAGAGAGCCGTTTATTTATAGTAAGTGATGATTGCAGAGAGCCTTTTATTTATAGTAATGATTGCAGAGAGTCTTTTATTTATAGTAAGTAATGATTGCAGAGAGCCGTTTATTTATAGTAAGTGATGATTGCTTAAACCTGTGACACAATCTAAGAGAGCTGTTAAAATATTATTCTCGTTCATGTCCTAAGTCGATCTTATAATAGTTCGATACTAAAATCAAATGATCGTTGGCTAACAAATAGTTGCCAGCGAGTGTTGTTTTATAATCTTTTTGACTAAAATAGAAGACGCAGAGTTCATCTGTTTCTCGATCAAGGCACATAAAGAGTAGTCAGCACTATGTCCAGTCGCCTTTTCTGTCTTTTGAGTCAGGTTCCCAAGAGAGCTAGTTGAAAATAGAGACTTTCTAGTTGTTCTCAAGTTCCTGAGTCTTGAGTCGTCTTGTCGGTTGCTCTACCCCCGCGCCACCACGTCGTCCTTTGGCCCTGTTTAAACATCGGGTTAGACGTCGGTCGCTCTAACCCCCCAACCCCATTCCCAACCACCCACCCCCTACCACGACATGTTTCTCTCCCATCATAGTTTTAATATATATTTTTTTCCTAAGATAGTCTTAACTTGTACGAGATAATTTAAAGAGGTGAAAGAGAAAAAAAAATTATAAGACTAAATTATTAAATTGACTGTGGATCTTTTTGGTTTGCCTCAATGATATTAAATGAAAAGGTTACATTCAATTGCAACACTAGCTTCGCACTTGTCGGCTCCAGGTCCCGAGTATTCTTAATGCCGGCTCTGATTAGGTTAATAAAAAAATGGATCAAGTGAAAGTTAGTTAAAATCTCAAGTTTGAATTAGGCTAATAAAAAATCGAAAGGAGAAGAATTGGAAAATATACCCAAACTCAATATTCCTAATGTAAAGTATATAATATCACCGGAATTCAGAGGCGTAGCGTGGGGGGCGGGGGCGGGGGGTGCGGACCACACCAATTAAGGGGGGTGACACCAAGACAAAAATAGCAATATATATAGCAATTTATATAGAGAAAATTGATAATTTCACGTAATTAAATGATTAATTAGAATAAATTAAATGGTGACACCATGACGTAAACCTACTAATGATAGAGAAAATGTTACCTCCAGCTGTATTTATAACCAAATATACATTGATTTTTTTTTTTGGGGGGGGGGGGGGCGCTTTCATCAACTCATCCTTGCAAAATATGCCTGAAGAAAACCGTTTTGTTTAGAATCGCGGGATTAGGGGGGGGGGGAATAATTATATAAATCCAGAAAAAAAAATCGAATACATATGCACATAAATACAATATATACACATACATTCATAATTTTTTTCTCTCTTACGGGGGGGGGGGTCACCAATAGGTGCCGCGTCGGGTGAAGACCGACCCCGCTACGCCATTGCCGGTATGTTAGGTATGCTTGAGATATCAACTTTTTTTTTGTTTTTATTATTACATTGTCAAATAAAGAAGTCAGTAAATTATTCAGACAATTTATCTATTGTATCGCCGTATCTTTGCAGCGGACAATCCCAACAATTCGTATTGACATCATGTATTGCAAGCTGACGTTAGCAACGAAACTGAGTGTCAGAACTGGCTGTGGTGTTACAGAGACGGCATGTCTTTCTATACCGTCATCGTCTTCATCTTTTCATTACTAAGTCATTTCGTTGATTCCAAAAATTTGGTAAACGCTGCCCTTTTTAAACCTGCATATCAGAGTTCTCAAGATAGTACATCGCCACCTGATTGGGGAAGACCTGGTTTGGGAAATGATGGAATCAGAGTCCAAGACCTAACAAACTATGATTGCACTCACACGCAAAGCGAATACGCAAGCTGGTGGCTGGTTGATTTTCAAGGATGGTACCTAGTCAACCATATTATATTCTCAAATAGGTAGGCTATTCTTATTTAATTAGCAAAATACATTAAATATTAATAATAATGTTTTATAGTACCCCCATTTATAAACATTCTAGGTAGTGTAAATTTTAAATATTATTTATATTTTTTTTTAAATTTAAAATGTTTAAAAATGTTTTTGAATAGACGATGGTAAACATAAATGTTAAAAAACAGAATATTATTGCATTGTTATAACTAGTTTCAATACCTTTCATCAACTTAAATACGGTAGCCCTATTTTCAAAATAGTTTTTTTAACTGGGAAAATGTAGTCATATGTATATATATGTATATATATATATATATATATATATATATATATATATATATATATATATATATATATATATATATATATGTATTTATATATATATATATATATATATATATATATATATATATATATATATATATAGTTGTATCTTTGCTACCAGACTTGATTACGGCGCTCCGAGATTGGAAAACTTCAAGATTGAAGTTTTTAGAACAGATCCGCGCTTGATGCCAGGGTTCCCGTTGGTGTCTGGTGACGTCTGCTACCAGGAGGTCGATCCTCTAGGGCCTGGGACTTTTGTCTGGAACTGTACAACTCCAGTGTTGGGGACTTTTCTTAGACTTATAAGGTATTGTTAAGGTTAAATAGTACACGTTTTTTTAATAGTCCTCGTAATAACCCCTCGCGCCCTAGTGGGATACACAATAATGTAAGTATACAAATACCTGACCATCATACTGATACATGTGTATCAATTAAAAAATAACAGTTTCCCAAAAAAATATATTTTTTATTATAGTTGAA